TCGTCTTTGCGAGCGACGAGCTGAGCCTTTGAAGCCCGCAGCTCAGAGACTTCAATGTGTGAGCGCCGCTTTTCTCTTCGCTGCTTGACACCACAGGACCAAAAGTGTCAGCTTGATGAAATATACATACACGCCATGTATAATGTATAATGCTTTCCTCTGAGTTTGCTATACATACAAATGTAGCACGTTTGTTTTTTGCGCTCGCCTAAAGTCAAGTTCAGGTCAGTGTTGAGTCGCCGCACTTGCTGTAAACCTGTGTCTGACTGTGTCCTCTATCAGTTATTATCAGTGAGGCATCAACATAGAAGTGAAAGTTCTATAACTTATGATGTTGCACTTGCCTTCTCACATGATGACAGTTTCTCATCTGCGTGGATTAAAATATGCCGTACACCAGAGGTACTCGATTAAAATTCAGAGGTGTCCTCACATTAGAATATGAGACGTATCATCGTCTGTGTGTAGTCGACAACTGACAAATTAAGGAAACTATATAGAAGTGATATTTTAGGAATATTTATTGTCAGTTTTTAAATTGAACTTGAGGGACCTTAAATAAGAACTCTATTGTCAAAAAGCGTTTTTTAAATGAGTAAATAAGTGCATCTTTTATATAAAGTGCTTCAGTTTAGACAAAATCAACAAATTAAAATGTGTGAAATTAAGTTTCCTCTTTTCCTCTTCCTGTTCACTATCGTACACATCTTAACAGATTTAATTTCCAAACATTTCTCTGACTCACTTCTCACTCTCAGATTCGTTTGACGTCACATGAGATGATTCACATCACATGCAATTGGTCTGTGAGTTACCTTGGCTACTTAACTACTGCCATAAAGCATAGGAAAGCTGCGCAGGTGAAAATAAAAAAACGATTGGTCAAAGTGTGACCAGTCTGTATGTGTGTTTATAGGTTATAGGTTCAGGTCCACTTATGATGTGGTTCTCTGTGTGCACTAAACAGTATACGTCGCCTCTTCTATTATTGTATTGTGCATCACATTAAAATAAAAAGATGATTAATTCATATGTGCATCAATAGCTTGCATGGCATCTCTGTGTTGGTGTAACATCTCCCTGCTCTTCTCCCTGCAGAGCGCTCCGTCGACGCTCGTTAATAACGCTCTGACTTTCACTTTCCGAAAATGAGGAACAGGCCTCTGAGTCTTTGAAGCCGACTCCATGAAGCACAAAGTGAAGAGAGAGGAGGCTTTTGCTCTTCAGTGCATTTGACATCTCAGTGCTTTGGTCTGAGCTTGATCAAGAGTTTAGTTTCACTTCCTTCCTCTATTCCATTTCCTGATTTCCTGTGCACGTCGGAGGCCGCAGTGTGTGAAAGATTTTCAGCCACTGTCCTCATTCTGAGTCGGTTTTTTTTCTTTTCATGATTTGTATTTTAACCATTATATAAAAAATGGACCCACAACACAAGCAGCTCTGTGTGTTTTATATAGATGCATCACTCTTAGTTTATTTTAGCACACCCCAAAAGTGCAGTCCTCTCAACACAAACTAGGTTTCACCGCAACATTGACCCACATGTGCCAAGAAAGAGGATGGAGAGAGTGTGCGCTCCATGTTCCTCTTAATGCGGAGCCACCAGTCTTTGCACAGAGCCGGACAAAAACAGCCACTGATTATGTGGCGTTTTCTCCAGTAGAGGCAGAAAGCAGCAGTTTTCTGTGGTCGGGCTGTGTCTAGACTGTGTAATTGGTTCATTACAGGCCTTTAAAACGACGATCAAAGAGGGTGAACATCTTGCTTTACGCTGATCTTCGTCTCCAACCTCGTAAACTTCACAATTTCATGCGGACATGCACAGAGTAAAAAGCTCAGGCTGCGTTTCATGCACTTCGATATTTCCTCATCTGTCACCAGAAAGGATGCTTCTACACAGATCAACTAATTTCCTCAGTAAATAGACTCATCCAAGCTTCTCCGCCTAATATCACTGCTTTTTACATCCTGCATCCACATCGTCTGCTCGCTCTTTGTTCCCTGAGCTTCGTACAAATCACCTTATACACACAATTACTGCTGCAGAATGAGAAGCAGCCCGCTCTGAAGCCAACAGCACACATGTGGTCCCTCCAGAGCTTCTGATGCAATGTGCTTTAATTACGCAGCTATAACCGCAGCACAGTGCACCAACCCTTCAGGGCCCTTTATGTCCTCAGAGATGTGTCTGCTGGGGACCAGACAGGCTCTTTGCAGCCCCCCCATCCTTTCACTGCCTTTGTCTCACTGTCTCATGGGTCCCATGGGTGAGGCCACAGTGGCGTCCCATGTGTTAAGACCGGCCAATGATAAAGTAGCTGCCACGGTCCTCATGAATTATGCAGGAGGGGAAGCAACTCCGCCCTTAGTTATGTAAATGTAACTTTGGGGGAGACAGAGGCAGGAAAGTTGCTGGGAGGTGGGGCGTTCTTGCATCCAGGGATGTGCAAGTAGAGGGAGGAGGTATCCAGCATCACGTGGTGATAATGTGTGAGAAAGGGGGAAGACACGAGTCGTGATCTACTGACACACATGTGAAGTGGAGTTCATCTATTTAGAACCTACCTGCATGTCACAAGTGTTCATCCAGTGTGCTAGGTTTTCCTCTGGTGAACAGGAAGCAATATACTTCACAACTCTGGGTTTTTCACAAAAAAAGCAGACAAAGCACAGACGCTGCTTTTCACAACCACCATGGTTGCGCAAGCAAAGAAACCCTAACCCCAGCACGCGCAAGCCCAGTGTGCGTGAGTGGTCAGTTGATATGCGTTTTCAGGCATGTCAGTGTGTAGAATTTAGTGATGAAGTTGCATGTTGCATGTTGCAGCCTCTCACTTGTGAGAGAGAGAACATGAGAGAGAAGCTGTGGTAAACTTCAGTTTTCATAAGAACTCAAATGGTGTTTAGTTTGTCCAGTTTGGGCTACTGTAAAAAACATGGCGGCCTCTGTAGAGAGTATTCGCTCCTGATGTAAATATAATATATTTTAAATATAAAAGGCCCATTTTAGGGTAAAGACAACAACAATTTGTACAGTTTAGATGACACACACTAGTGAAAACATCACTGGATTATTTTATATTCAATTTCTGCCAATGGATCCCTTTTACCTTAATTTTACACACTGAACCTTTAAAACTCATTATTAATAATTTTCCACAAGGTACTCTCTAATAGACAGGTGGACCATGGGAAATGCAGTACAAAAACACTGTAGTGACAAGTCAGTAGCATGAAAGTAGTCCCTGAGTAAAGCATAACCTCACATGCACTTTGCAAATATATGGTTTTGTGCATAAACCTTCTGCTAATTTGTCTCTGAATGGAGTTTTCATCACTAGCTCAGAGTGAGTAAGTCCAACCAGCCATGCATAAAACAAACTGCGCCTATAAATAACCCAGGCGAGCCACTGAGCACCCTTATACGCATTGTGTCATTATGTCAACGGCTGACAGCAAACACTGAACTATTGATGCCTCTCTGTTAGTAATCCTATTGGTTCTAGCATAACTTCTAACGGTAAATGGACTGATCAGCTCCTCTTACAGCCCCAATCTGGTTTTCTCCAAGGTCTCCGGGTAAGCAGATCCTCAGACGGTTGATTTCCACTCCTACTGATGACATTAAAACCCTCTCTGCTTTTCTTTTTCAAATGTCCACCTCGACTGTTAGAGCGGTGACAGCGCATCAAATTGACCGCACGGCAGTGACATTGAGTTTTGAGTGGTTTTTTTTTCTTTTCTAGGAAACAAGACCCACTCCTCCAACCCCCGTCCTGTACAACATGGGACTGATATTCAAGCCTTAATCACCTGTTTTGGATCAGATGAAAGGTTTAGGGCATCCATTACATTATATTACTGCAGTGTGAGTGTGTGTGTGTGTGTGTGTGTGTGTGTGTGTGTGTGTGTGTGTGTATTAATTCTCCTACAGCAGGTCTGCAGGCTCAGTGGGCGGGCGTCTACCTCACTGTGTTGTCACCGAGGCAGATTCACTGTTATGAAGGTGAATATTAATCTGGTCGTGGCTCCGGCTGTCCTCTTACTGAAGCAGATGGTCTCTGACAAACAGGAGCCATGTGGTCACTGCCCTCCCTCCATCCCTCCATCCCTCCATCCCTCCATCCATCCTCCAATCCATCCACCAATCCATCCATCCATCCACCTTATATGTTTTCACTTCAATAAAAAAGGCTATATAATAATACAATGCATATACATGTTATTAATCCTGTGAGATGAATCCACTTCTCTGCTCAGGAAGCCCATAACAAACTGTTATTATTGTCACTAAACCTTAATCCACTGTGTCTTCATCACCTATAGGGGGCAGACTGAGGAGACCTGTGTACATAACGGTCCAGTGTTCACAAAAGTAACAGTTAATCCTAGTTTTCTCTTTTTTACAAAGGTAACTTAAAGAATATGTGTAAAATTCATATTATTTTCACTCACAGTGTAACTTTACGCAGCACCACCAGGTCCAGTTGGGTGGCAACCAAACTCCCTTTAATTATTTTGCAGTTTTGTATTAACTTGATCACTATGAGAAATTCATAGGACAGTAAACAGTAATAAAGACATATACGTAGAGGTAAGGAACACTACGCTGCTTCGGCATGTATTCCGAACACAACAATGGATTTGAGTGACTAAAATCTCAAAGATTATCATTTGTTGACACCTTATTAGTGTGGTTTTCCGCCCTCTGAATAGAGGGTGGGAGCTGCAGCGTGCGGCGGATCCAAGATTTTAAAAAGTAGAAAACTTCTTAAAACAAATCGCTAATTTGTGGCTATTATCATCCCGAATTCAAATAGGACTATAATAGTTCATGAAAAAACATTCACTGGTGTTGTTAAACTAATGCTGGTTGGCAGAAAATCAAGATATACTTCAAACTGGAATAATCCCAACGAGGTGTGGTTCCGCACTGCATCGGGCTTGTAGGTTGTAGTTTCGAAGCGGAGGATTTGTGTGTGTGTGTATGTATCTCTCACCTGTGACATCTGCGGTCTGAGGTTGATCTCCTTCAGGTTGATGGCCTGCGCCCTCAGGTTGTTGAGCAGATGGCACAGCAGGACTCCATCCCGGAGCGTCTGCGCCAGGTCGAACACCTGAGCGGACTCCCATGTCACCCGGTGGTTGGCGGGGAGCACCTTGCAGTTGATCAGCCACAGCGCGCATTGCTTCCAGTACTCCATCATTATTCTGAGTTCATGCGTCGGGGGAGGATTTCTTGTTTTTCCTTTTACGCAGGACGAGAGCTCAACGGTGCGTCTTCACGCCGAGTCCATGTCCGTTCCGCTCACTGTGAAAAAGCCGGTGGAGGAGCAGAGGCAGGCGGCTGCTCTGTGGATGACACTCCGGTGTAGTGAGGCTATGGATGGAGCGCACCCTGCTCTCTTCCTCTCTCTCTCCCTTCCTCTCTCTCTCTTCCCTCCCCCTAGCCCTGTTCTTCACCTCTTCCGCCTGCCACCCACAGGCTGCACGAGTGCTGCTGTCACCGACTGAATACTTTCCACTGCAGGAAAAAAGAAATATATATATTTACCCTTATTCAACAAATGTAATCTTATCTGACAGAAACTTACTTTGTTTCAGTCATAACTATATCTCACTCTGGTTTTCAACTAATTTAAGGGAGTGATAATAATATTTTATCTGTGCAATTAAAACTTATATACATGCCATACTGTTAAACCGTACATGTTTTGTGTACCTCGTACATATATCTATTTTTCATAGTTCCTTGTGTTTGCAGTATGAATTTAACAATTCCATATCCTTCCCCGAACATTCGTGGAAATTCATCCTGTAGTTTTTGTGTAATTTGGTTCACAAACAAACAAACAATCTGGCAGGGGTGAAAGCATAATGTCAGTGCATCTTTCTGTGATTATTATGTTCAGTTTTCCACAAAATGTTTACTGCACATGAAACACGTCGCACTGTGTCTCAGTCATAATGAGGCAGGATTAATAATCTACTGCTATTTCAGAAACATTGGATCAGCTACAGTGTAATTACATAACAGGCAATCTGACACTTTTAATTAGTACATAATATGTCATTTCTTTCACGGTGATATATTCATGTGTGGCTGCATGTTCTTGTTGCTGTGATGCATCTTGGATGTTCCTGACCTTTCATTTGCATGAGTGAATTATTAGTTTGTGGAGGAAATGGTGTGTAAGAGCAGATGTGTGTTATCTGCCCACCCTCAGGAGGTTTTGGTGAAGTATCAGTTCTGGTTTAAAAGCTGAATGTTCCTGTCATGGACTGATGATAAGACGCTTCTCTTCTGATTTGCCTCTTTGTTATTTGGGTTTGCGGGTTCTGTGGAAGGCTGTCAGTCTAGCTGTTAAAATTGTTGTGCTTCCTCATTTAAAAAAAAAGTGATGTTGGATGTTTTCGACCAATAAGGTTAAGTCTCCTTTGTTGACCAGTGTCAGAGAGTTTGCATATTTTTTAAAAACTCATCCATTAGAAACTAGTTTCAGTCATTGTCAGATTAGGAGGGGAAAAAATGAGTTCTGTTTTTACATCAATTGAAAGTGTCAGGTCTAATGATAAGGAACACATGAACACATATAGTATGTGATCATTACTGTAAATTATTTGATAACAGAGACCAGTTTGTTTTGACCTATTCTGCATCTCAGCAAATCTCTTTCTTAGCACGTCAGACAAAGTTACTCAGGTCAGACCTCAGCTGCTCAGCCACTTTTTGGTTTATTCTCTGAGGTCACCTCACTCTGAGGCAAACATGCTAAAATTCACTTTATTCTCGAAGTATCAAGCATTAACTAATTTCTAACATATGAATGAGGTGCTCTGGACCAAAGGAGACTTCTCCTGGGCTTGACCCTGGTGGTGGTGACGAGGGATGGAGCATGAAGCTGGGAAGTCTCATGAAGGCCTGTGATTGGACACTTGGAGGACAGATGACTTGAGTATCAAGCGTTGAGGTGGTGCAGGGATGGAGGTGGGACACTATACTGTACGATACTATACTATACGATACTGAACTAAGCTCTAACAGGTTACAGGTGATTGGCTCAAGGTGAGCGTGTCAGGCTGTGATTGTCTGAAAAGAACGAATGAGCTGCTGGAGCCCAGAGACAACACGAAACTGTGCAAGGAACTTTGTTTCATTAGAAAGGATGTGGGTAAAGATGATGTGCGCCTTAATCTAACCAAAAGCCGCATACTGTCCTTTGTTTCGCTTTTGGCTAGGTGTGCGATTCTATTAAGGTGGAGGGATGCTGCCCCGCCCACATGCTCAGTGGTTAAGGTATATCATGTCCTGTCTAGACCTCGAAAAGATCCGTTATTCAGTTTGTGACTCCAGCAAGAAGTTCCAGAAGGTATGGGGACCTTTCTACTTATATTTACCTTTATTTATTTATCTATTCATCCTCTTTGTTTGTTTATTCACTTATTTTATTTTCATTTTTACTATTTATTTATCTTGCAACTCAATACTTGACTTCCAGCAGTTCCCGACAACACTCCAGGAATAATGCTCCTCAAGAATCATGGTTTGTAGGTGTGACTAGTGGGAGGGGAGGGATGTTTATGTTTATGTTAAATCCCTCTGAAAAATGTATGAACATGTATGTATATTTGATGTGATAGATGTAAAATTCAAAATTCAATAAAAATAGAGAATGTGGGTGATTCAGCAATACCAGGTGACAGTTTGGATTTCAGTTGTTATTACAGAAAGGTAACAGGTTACAGAAAGAATCAACTTCATTTAGCTGCTTTCAGACATGAACTGAACCCTGGAGATCCTGCAGACATTCTCCCTCTGGATCAATTAAGTATGTATCTATCTGTCTGAACACAAATATCTGACTGAGAGCCTCTGGACTTTCTGTTGACTTTCTCTGGCCAGTCCCCAAGGAAAAGGTCTGCAGAATATCTGATGGAGCCGATGTGAGAACACAGCTGGAGATCCTCAACAAGCGAATGCGCTTGTTGAGGATGCAACAGAAACAAAAATTTAACAGAATTAATATGCCTGTGTCATTGTGGAAAACAGCTTTTGTCTCCCCATCTGATTTAAACAATTGGTTTACTTAAATTATTAGTTTTTATTTATAAAGTATCATTGAGTCAGTGAAATATATTCTTTTTATTAGTGTTGTTGTTGTTGTTATTAATAATAATAATAATATCATTCTTATTGCAGCCTACAGTGCTTCACATGACAAGATGAAAGAATTACATGGAAAAACTAATAAATCAGTCAATCACAAGAGAACAAAATATATAAAGAACACAGATGTGTAGAAAAGCAGCAGTGATGACAGCATCACATACTGAACTGATACACCCAGGCCATTCTAACTGTATTGCAAAATGCATGCATCACGAGACAGGAAATGTATGCTGGAGAAATCCAATATGTGAACATGAATATAATTACATATACAGTCCAAGTGCTGCTAATCACATTAACAGTGTCACATGAAGATGTATGAATAAAGAATGAGCAGAAGAGATGGGAAGACAAGACGTAAACCTTCCAGACTCGTTTCTGATTAATACATGAAAACGAGATCCACAGAGTTTAAGATGTGCAGAGGAAGGAAAGAAAAAGCTCCATACAAAGAAAGTATGTCAATGAATCACTCTGAGCACATTTACATACAGTGAGTGAACACAGGCCTGTGCAAACAATACTGTGAAGATTACTCTCCAGCATTTGCGGTTGTAAACACTCGCGTTATCCTGAATTCCTCACTCTCCATCTTCTCCTCTTCATATTTGTGCAGAGGATTTGGACAGATGTCAGAGGAGTGGGGTTTTGTCTGTCCACACAAAAACTGGTGAAAGAATGGAAGGCCTGAGTTTGTGCGGTTTACTGTGCGAGCCTCCAGCTTTGTCCTCCACTGGCTGCACACCGGATGCCATGGCTGGCATAGCGTGGATGACAGGAGAGGTGGCTCGTGGCCGAACGCTGGCATACCTCTCGGTACCCTTCTCCTGTTTCAGCTTCCTCTCTCAGACTGGAAAGACGGCCATGGTAATTAACAGCATTCCTCCGATTGATACTACACACAGACACACACATGCATGTACAGTATGATCTCAAGGACTGAGGATGCTTTATCACAACATCATTTCAGTGCCACACATACATGGACTGCTCACTTATTCTTTTTAAAATAGCATCAACGCAAAACTGGCCCAACCTATCACATCCAATGTTGATGTAATCTCCTTCAGGACCTCATCGATGCACAGATGAATGATTTGCCGCATATCTGGGTTACTTCATCTGGAATGTGACCAGCACGGGAAAGTAACGACCAACGTGTGAGCGTCCAAGATTATGTCTGGGCACATATGGCAGATGTGATGGCACTGCCAGAATTTTTTTCTTTTCTTATTCGATGCCAAAGCACATTATTAAAGTGCTTCAGTGATCAAATAAGAGTGGTTCAGAGAAGAGAAGGAAAAACAACGACTGAAAAAGAGGGCAACAGATTTGAATGTGATAATTTATCCCAGTGTGTGGAACAAAATGTGAATAATTACAACAGAAGAATGGAAGATTAGGATCTTTGGTATCTTATAAGCACCTGTTTTTCTCCTGTTTTCACATATGTGCCATATTACCTTCAAATATGAATGTATTGCACATTGTCTTTTTCAAGTAACAACAGCTATTTTAAAATGAAGATGCGCTGATGTAAATAGTTGCATTCCAGATTGTAAAATTATAAAACTGACGACTGTGGGCTGATATCATATCACTATAACCTGTTTATATCATAGGAAAAAATCTGAAGGGAAAAGTGCATCCAAACATAAAGTCATGTGACTTTCACTCAGCTTTTACTCTGTGTTACAAACGTACTTCTAAGAGGTCAACACAAGGAATATTGTTGCTTTCAGGCATGAAGTCTGGACATTTTCCTGAAATTGTCCACAGGGTTTGAATGCGAGAGCTCAAATGTCCAAGTCAGGTGCTACGGACATTTTATGGAACTTATTTTTGAATGTGTTGATGACAGATGCAAAACTGTAAAAACAAAAAGAAGGGAACATGAATGTCTGAACCATATATTGTCCATCAGTCCACCTGAATAGTTATTGAGACATTTTGAGAGACTGAGACTGTATGTGAGAACCAGCTGATGGTACAAGAGGAAAAGTAATTGTGTTTCATCCTCTGGGGACTTTGACTGACATGGTTAGACACGTATTAATTACAATAGGTGGTGAGATATTTCAGTCTGCGTTCAGACGTTTGCCATCCCTGGGGTGATGGTGCTTGAAAAAATGATCAAACCGCCACCACTATAGTTAATAACACTCTGTTTGATTTCCTTAGCTTCAGTGACCTGAACTTTGCCGGTTTTAGCAGCAGCTACCAGAGTGGCGTCTTCTCCTTGTCCCTCCAACTGTACCATAGTCCACAGAGCTCATCAGCTCCCCTCTCGTAAAAAAAGAAAGAAAGAATTCACAGGCACTGCCACATTGTCATCGCTCCATCAATACCCCCCTGCAGCTCTGCCGGGTTGTGATTTACTGAGCTTCTCTTTGCCCGTTGTGTTACCTGATCCGGGGGACGGCGGTGGATCTGTTTGTGCAGCTCATGTGTCCTCTCTGTGAAGGACATGTCTTCTCCCTGCTCTGTGTCCTGCCTCTGGAACAATCATCTCTCAGCTGTACTTGTGACATTTTATTTCAGTGTTCCATTTGTTCATCAACAGGCCCCGATGAAGACAAATAATATTTTCTCATATGTGACATCTCAGTAAAATAGATTTTCTTGAGCAGAACTTAGATAAATACCTACGGTCTTTTCCCCAAAATCAAATCCACAGCAACAACCCAGATGTAACACTGTGGAAGACCATAGCATCTGCTCTTCATTGTTTTCTAACAGCTATTGATTGTCTGACCCTGCCCTTATAGCATGCTATTTTGCTGGATTAGGAGGCCAGAAGAGAAATCAATGGGCTGGGATCCTCATGAGAGGCCGGGGATAAGTGGAGGCTGGCCAAGTCTTGCAGGGTTTCATCAGCTGGAGGGGATCAGCTGGGGAACTAACTGGGTGGAGGCAGTGGAGTGGGGAGAACACGGACAATCAAAATGGCCTAGGGAATTCTTCATTGTGTAGTAATTTGCCCTCTGGTGCTGCGGCACGATGGTGCGAGATTCAAGATTCTTTATTGACCATCTTCACATGGCAGCCATCTTCCTTACATCATGCTTAGAGGGGGGAACCTCACATGCTCTTATGAACAGAATAATGATTGTGCTGTTATGATTCAAGTTTATAAAACACAGGGAATCAGACAAACTGTTTTCATTACACAGTCCCTTACTGACAAGATGATGGAGAGTTCAAATCTGGAGGCAGATGTTTCGAGGTTAAAGAACATATTTGACAGCTCATTAGCTCCTGCTGGAGAACCACTAACGTCCATTTGTTTGTTGGTTTATATTTTGTTGTTTGTGATCAAAATTAGAGTAAAACAACTGAAATGATTTCACATACTTTGCTAATTGGTTGAGTGTTCTCACCTGCTCCTGGGCCTCCACCAAAAATGCTCTGCGTGTGCTTATCACAGGCCTGATGGTGCCCACCCCCATCTCCACCCCGTAACGAAACAGACAAGACTTTATAAGTCATTTTCAAGTGACTGTTACAAGGTGAAGACAAGGCTCCAAGCTGATGATAAACAAGTCTTTGTTTTGTTCGACAGCACTCGAGGACTTCGAGGACTTCCAAGGTATGAATGCATGAAATTACAGCCAAATGTTCCCTCTGTGAGAGCGAGGAGAAGAATACATTATCTCATCTTTTTAACAGATGTAAGGTCATTGAAGAATTGTGGTGTTGCGTAACATTTCAAGCTGAAACTAAATAAATGACTTAGAGCAAGAGGAGGGCAAGTATGACTCCACAATAAGAATTTCATCATGGAATAGAAAAACATAATTACTAATTAGTTTTTTATCAATTGTAACACGGAGAACAACATTTTAGACCATTTCCAACAACAATTATAAGCTTTGTTTTCATTAATGAAAATTACAGCAATTATAGTTTTTTGGTTTTTATTTGGGATGATTATTTGGGAGTTAGCCCATTAGTTTGTGTGTGTGTGTGTGTGTGTGTGTGTGTGTGTGTGTGTGTGTGCATGTGCGTGTGAGTAGATGGCCTTAAGTGTGTCGGACAGGTCCATGGGGGCCATCATCGGGGCAGCAGTGGCAGATGCAGCAGGTAAGATAAACTGTATTTAATACTGACCCTCATACTGTGTTAATTACAACAACCGGACAAATCTGCCTTATTCAGTCTCCATTTAGGATCCAGTGCATATACTTTACATAATGAATTTTACACAGCAGCTTATTGTTTTCTTCAGTCGTGACCAGTAACATTATCAGTACCATTATAGCAACATGTGTACGTGCTGATAAAACATGAGGGCGGGGTTTTAACTTGTACACCACATGAGGTTATGAAAGCTGAGTTTCTGCAGCTGCTGCTCTGACAAACATGAATGAACCAAGAGGAACTTTTACTTAACTTCCACACATCATTCTCACCAGACCACTGACGTTTGTTTTATGTAGATGACTGCTTTTATCAGAAGTGGAGGAAGAACTCAAACTTTTTACTGAAGTAAGAGTAGAGTAGTAAAATTGTTTTCAAGTAAAGTGAAGTACCACATTAACTTTTCTACTAAATATAGTGAAGAGTATTAAAAGTAAAGGTACTTGCTGAATGTAGCCTGTTCCCCAATGCAATGTTCTACTAGTAATAGTGTCATGGCAGGGTTTAATATTACCTGCTCGCTATGAAGTTTCCCTCATGCTATTTGTTACTTTTTAAAATATTTGTGAATTTAAATTACAGATATTTGCTGATATGTATAGTGGAGTAAAAGTGAAAAGTACCTGAAAATCTACTTGAGTAAAGTACAAATACATGAAAATGTACAATCATGAAATCAATGTACTTCATTACATCCCACCGATGGCTTTAATACAGCACTTATCTAGTATGAACAAATACTCAAAGTACTTTACAATACCAGTGACATTTACCCATCGCAGACATATTCATACAATAAATGTTTGTATCACTCATTCATTCAAAACAGAGCTTAACATGTAATTGTTGTTTGGAGCCATGATTCTGCTCTAGTATAACACACAATCGTCACCCCCATCCCCCACTCCCCCGCTCCATGCTATCTACTATCGACAGACTGTATGTACAGTAGGTCATGTCAAATACATCAGGAAAAGAAAACTATTGAATGTTCCATCATTTCCCCCTGTGTGTTTGTGTGTGTGTGTGTGTGTTTGTGTGTATGTGGGTGGGTGTGTTTGTGCCCCTTGCCCAAACAGCCCAGCCCATGCACTGGATCTACAATCCAGACAGGCTCAGTGAAGTTCTGTCTGATCTGGAGCCGTGTCCCGAGTTCAGGCCTCAGTCAGCGAATCCATTCTACCGCAGGACGACTGGCGAGCAGACCTGCTATGGAGACCAGGCGTATGTCCTGCTCGAATCACTGAGTCAGCGTGGAGGTACTGAAATTCACCCAGAAAGACTGTATGTGTCATCCATAGATTTTAGACACATGGCATAGATCATTATCTAGTATCAGTATCTACCACTGCAACATTTTACACTATGCGTCATAGAGTGTATATCAACATAGACAACAGTGTGATCAGTGTATAACTAGGTTAACTAGGCAACTGCCTAAAACGACAGAATTCATTTTTGAGAAAACGTTTATTTGATCCATGTCCCGTCCACTTACATAGAGAAGGAAGGTTTATCTATACTGCAGCCAGCAACTAGATGGTGATCTAGATACTTTGGTATTACTTTAAGGGAGCAGTCATGTCATCCATCTTTAAATACAGTCTATGAGTCGCATTTATACTGATGTGAATGGACTTTCAATTTGAAAGCAGGACTTATTGATTTCACACAACAATGGTGGGACAACATAATTTGTCAATTCTACACCTAAAATTCTAGTGGTTGGAAAATTGACTTGTTTCACAAAAAGCATAGAGGCAAAAAAAAAATCAAACAGATGACTTTTCATGCATGTTTAGAAGCAGCATGAGTGCGAGGAGAAGAGCTGAAGCTGGAGTGAAGGAAACCTGTCCAAGCCCCAGAATATCTGAGTAATACCGCAAAGTTTCAGCTCAAGTAGAGTAATCTAAGCACAAGCAGGGGCTAATTGAGTGTGAGCGCAGCAGTTTGAGAAAAAGCTTTGCAAAATCTGAACATGAAATCAGTCCTACCCTAAAACTGAGAGACCAAGCTTCCCAAATTAGTTTTGTACTGTTTAGGCCATGTTTCTCATTTACCACAAACTTAGGTTGTATCATTGCCTGAAGTGGCCCACATGTTATCTGGGACACTTTTAACCTTTTAATGCCCTGGAAGACCATAAAACTCTTCCTGTCTTCTTCCTGTGAAGCAATATGTTTAGAGCCATCATCATACAAAGTGACGTCTTCCTGCTCTTATTTGATTATGGCCGTTACAGTCGTCTACAGCGTCCATCTTAGTGAGCCTAATGCACTCTATGGATGATTTACTGAATCTGGGGCCAGTTGCAAAACCAGTAGTTTGACGTTTGATGCTGCTGGTGAAGCTGCGTGATTGATTTCTGACAGAGTGCATCCTGTGTTGGCAGATATCGACGTGGATGACTTGACCAAGCGCATCTACAAGTTCTTTGGTGCGGGAACCGTGTACGACCTGCCTCTCAATGACCCTTACAGGAAGAAAGAAGGTGCAGTACCTGTCCATCTAACCACATGACATGTTGAGTAGATAAGAAGAGAAGATAATTTTGTATTAGTCCCACAACGGGCAAATTTGCAGTGCAAAGAAGACAAAAAAAGCCTAAAATGATGTGAGCCATTTGTTTCTGTCTGAAACATAATGATTTTCCTGCCAGTGGGAAACTCCCTCTCCATGAAAATATTCCATACTTCCTTGTCCAAGCTGCTGACCAGTGCTGTGGATAGTTTTTTGCTGTCAGGATATCATATTAAATACAGTGCTGCCATAAAACACCATAACAACACAGGACACCTTTGGGTGCAGTAAACCACAGGAAGCTTTATGTCTGCGCTGTGTCATCATCATGGACAGTGAAAGTCTTCATGAGTGAAGAGAAGAGAAACTTGTCCTGTCTTCACTGGCCTGTTTGGTCCTGCAGCCATACTCACCATATTATCTGTTGTTTCGATTTGTCAGGTCCCAAAGTGGTACTGCCCATCGATGGGCCGTGGAAGAACAGCAGCCTGAAGGCTTTCTTCAGAAACGTGGACGCTGGCAAAGAGGAAACTGGTACAGACCATAAAAACAGACCATGAGAACTGTATGAACACATCTGTCATGCCCTGACATCTGGATGTGAGAGAAGTTCAGTCATTAAGATGTGTGCAGTTCCTCAATTAAATCAATTTTTTTTTCTCTTGCTCCTCCACCTGGTTATTTGGAGAAACTGCACATGATTATAAACAAAGGAAATACCACAAATTAAACTCTTAACTCCACTGTATTTTAAAAATATTTAATTCCCTGTGTTCGGTTTAATTTAGCATGAGGACATCTATGATGCACTGTGACAGAAGCAAACTCCTATTGGCTGTAAGTGCCAGTGTTGTCCATCAATATAGGTTCAGGCCAAATACTAATTCTTCAGTGTTGCAATTGACAATTAAGGAATACAAAAACTGACAATCATCATCATCAGTCATCTTATTGCATATATACTGAATATAGTTCATATAGATATTGTTTGAAAAATCTGTTTACAATTCAAAACCAAGTTCATTTAAATTCTCCTAACTTTTCCCTTATAAGTCACTCACTTGACTCCATGCTTATGAATAGTCCGATGATCCTCTCACTAAAATCCTTAAGAGAGCAGTCACAAAATTGTGTTTTTGATTGTTGTATAATGTTTGCATATGTGTTTGTTTTCTGAGGCTGTGACGTGGACTGTCAGATGGACGGCGTCACTAAGCTGGCCCCAGTGGTCGCCATGTTCGCTGGGCGGCCTGAGATGCTGGAGAAAGTGGAGAAAGCCACAAGGGTCACGCAGAACAACGACATGTGTGTGGCTGTGACTCTGGCAGCAGCGAGGTGAGAGTGACAGCTGTCTAACACACTTACCATTATAATAATTATATTTCAACAATAAAAACAATATTTACATGTGAAATGAATCTGGCTGAACTCACATGATCCAGTTTAGAAGGGAGACAAACCTTTGGTCCGTCTGGCTTTATTAGGGTTTTGGAGCATTTCATTCTGAATGGTCCAGATCCCAACGCTCTGGACGTAGTTCTGGCTCAGCTGAATGACCCAAAGAGACAGAACCCTCAGGAGCAGGACCGGGCCGTCATCGGTAAGGATCATGTGTCTTTAATGCTGCTTTGATCCATCCAACCTTTGCTGAATGTCTTCTTCACGCTCTCTCCCTATTTTATACTATCCTATCAATAAATGCAAAAATTCCCCAAAAACATTCTTCGAAAAACAAAAGACAGCTGTAGTTTCTGCATTTCAGTTTTTCTGCCAAACAAACAAATGAGATGGAAGAAGAGCCTTTTATCTGTGCTGTTATGTCACTCTCACACAGATTAGTCAGGAAAGGAAAAGTTAGTTGAAGGTCAATGACTCCTTGCTGTAGTCCAATAATGATGATATATAATAATGATATAATACATAATAATTATATATTAATATAATAACAATATTGATGAGAAAGATATCCATCCTCTCATCTCTTAGTGAAATCTGAAGCTTTTTTGAAGTGGAGTGTATTCCATGGGTTTTGTGTGAGGTCTTATGATTTGCAGGATCTATGATATATTTGTTTTTATTCTTCTCGTGTTGTTGCTCATAACAAACAGAGGGAGAAGTTGGCAAAACACAAAGCTCATAAACCAGCACATCTTATGGGAAATGTGGTCAAAACTGGAAGAAAGACATAGAGCTCTGTGCAGGAAAATATTAATCTTCAAAATGTTCTTTTTTTAAAGTTGTTCTATGGAAATCAAAATCTACTGTTTCTCAGATGTAAAAGATAGCTGGTGTGTGTTTTGACAGCAGGCATCTCAAAAATAGGGGGAAAATCTGGCAGCAAAAATTGCCAAACACATACAAACTACAGTAAAAGATGTTAGTCTACAGAAATAAAAACTGATAGAATTACAAATACAGCAAAAGGATGTGCATTTCATTGTATTTTTTATATATACTTTAATGCAATTTAACTTTCAAGACCATTAACCTATTTAATAATCCAGTTATGTTAATTCTGGAATTATTCTTTTCTTTTTTTGTTTATTATCTTTTTGTTTGTTTCATTTTATGTATACTGATAATAAAAGTAATTTGCTATATTTTTATGGTATTTGTACTACCTCCTGGAAAAACTGTATGATATAGTACATTTCTGTGTTAGTATTTTTCTTAATCTCTCCTTGTATGTCTGCCAAAGCACATCTCCACCAGGTGAAGGACAACCTGGGGAAGACGGCCCAGCAGCTCGTACCTGCTGTGTTCTCAAACACATGAGGTGAGTCCCATCAGTGGTAGCAGCATGTTTACGTGGCACCCAGGCCTTCGTGGCCTCTTCCTGACAGTAGATTCTTTGGGTTTATGATCTCCTGACTTAATGGCCCCCCTCCTCTTTCCTCCTCATCCCTCTTTCCCTGCTGAGGTTAGTGTCTCAGGTTTTACGGGTCGAAAGCCTGAGACACCTAATGTGCACATGAAGAAGAGATCTGCTCTCCAGATCTGTTCAAATGCAGCCTGGTGGTTTTATTACCTCCGCCGAGGAGGTTATGTTTTCATCTGCATTTGTCTGTTGGTTAGCAAGATCGCGCAACAGCTACAGGATGGATTCCCATGAAACTTGGTTCGGCCCCTGTACATCAACAAATAGGGCTAGAAACCTTTAACTACCCAGAATGTGTAGCTGAGAAACATAATGTGGCTCCAGCTATATGGCTTGTTTTAATGTAAGGGGACTGTTTGGCCTTGTCAGAGGTATGTGCTCTACAGAGTGCAATTCTAGTTTTGTATGGGACACTACTAACTCACACTTGAACAGATTGGATCCTCCGATCTGTTTCTGTATCATTTGTCATTTGTCCCACCCTGCTCTGCTGATTCTGACTCTTCTTTTCAAGTTTTGCCCGGTGCGTTCCAGGGAGCGCTTCACGGAGTCCTGACGCTGACCCAGCTGGATGAAGCAGTCAGAGACACCATGCGCTGCGGGGGATGCACCGCTAGTCGAGCCTCCTTCATTGGAGCCTGTTTTGGAGCACAGGTACTGTACTTATTCCCACTGTTGACTCTTTGTTTACCAGGTGACAGTGTGACACACTTGTCATCATATTCAGTCACATCAGGGAGGCACATGTGCACCCATGCCTCTCTGCAGTTTGGGTCGAGACAGGAAGTGAGTTTTTTTGGTATGTTTTTTGTACGTTGTTGTCTTCAGTCGATGTGCGTTTGATAAGGTTGACAGTGAGCTGATATGGTTAAAAAAAACTTTTGTGGTGCTTTCAGCTGTCATCTTGGTGTGTTTTCAGACCGGTCTCCAGGGAATCCCAGAGTCTTGGAGGAAGAGGACGTTCAGATATCCTCTGCTGCTGGAGTTGGCTGAAAACGTTATCCAGAAAAAGTCGGCAGATGAAGTTTAGTTTTGAAATCGACCCAAACAAATCCTGTCGATGATTTTTCTTTCATGAGACTTGTTGTATTGCAGTACTTTGACATGGCAGCCCATGACAGTTTCATTTTAAAGTCTTCGACTGAATGAAACTCGAAACTTCTGTTTATGTTGTCAAAGATGCTTCATGCAAGAAAGTGAAAATGTGTATTCGTGTTGTGATGAGGACACGAGACATATTTATCTAAAACAGCTGCATTGTAAGAAAAAGCGATTTAAAAAAATGAATGAAGAACTTTTGAATGGGTCCATTATCTTTTCTTTGCTGCAGAGTGGACTTAAAGGATTTCCCTGCATTGCCTTGGGGAGATTAAGTTTTCTGCAGTCAGGTTTCATCAGGTTTCCTTCTTCTCTTCCCCTTGAGTACTTTGTGTTATTGTGAAGCGAAAGAGCAGACACCAGATTTACTCCTGCAACATATTCCCTCCTCAAAGGAGCTGTTCTGCCTCTCGAAAAGTGCTGACTTCCATATTTATGTGTTTCAAGCAGCCGCCCCAACAGTTCTGACAGTCCGCCAAGTGTGAAGCAGCCAGAGCCTTAATATCTTTGTAACAGCCTGGTTATAAAGGTGCAGCGTGCAGGCTACCGTCAGTGTCCCTAAGCTGCTTTTACAGCTTGAGTCATTGACAATAATGAATAGGAAGAAGTTCAGGCTGTAGATCAACTTCTTCACTGGTTTTACATGTCATTTTGGCAGTGCATTGAGAATTCACTTGTGTTTCAGCCGTGCATCCTCAACACTGAGCAGAGAGGCTGCAGAAGCTCACAGAGGGAAAGTCATTTGATTTCTCTCTCGGCCTGACTTCCTCCCACACAGCAGGTAGCAGCCGCCGTCTGGCATAATGACAACCAGACCTGAAGAGTGTTTTTGTTTTTCCAAAATCTGCCAAAGTCCACTTCCTCAAGACATTTGCAGAGGAAGGGGAGATGGTTGCAAAAGATATTACGGTGTGGAAATATTATCTTGCAGTTGTGTCAGCGTTGCTCATCAGCACAGGACGAGTCAAAAAAGATTACAGGTCAAACTGTTTTATACAGTTATTATGGGAAAGGTATAAGACAATCTGTGCACTGTGCAGGTTTCACACATGCAGGCACCAGACTTGCATCTTGCTGGTATTCTCAGGGGGAGGCCTGAAACTATCTCTTCCTGTCATCTATGATTGCCTCGCTTGCACCAGTTTGTGTCTGTATCCATCCATGGCTGCCGCCTTTAAAAAAATGCTGACAGTATTGGGACAGATGAGCCTCCTATCTCCTTCTCTACATAGAAGTGATGCATTATTAAAAGACTAAAATGTGACATGTCCTTTTTTTAATGGGAAGCTGCTAGTGTTGGGTCTATGTTAACATTGTGTATTTACATTACATTTAGAAATGACAGATAAAGGGTCAGTGGGGTCAAACCATTATAACCAGTGTTTATTCTACAGAAGGTTTGAATTTGTGTGATACTCTTTTGTCTACCAATAAAAGCATGTGTGCCTTGAATTCAGAACTGATCTGTGTTTTTTTTTTTTTATCTTATTGCCAGCTACAAAAAAAGATGCCATAGTGTAAAGGCCAGTTGCAGAAACACATTTATTTGTCTTCATTTACTTCTGGATCAGGTTTATTGTTGTTGTTGATGTTTTCTATTTCTATTTTTATTCATTTTTATTGGAAAAAAAACATAAAAAGGGATAAGAAAAAACGTGGACTGCATATGTAAAGCATATATAATAGAAAAATAAACATCTGTGTAGAAATGAAGTAAATAAATAAAAATCACATTTGGTAAGAATGTTTTAATATTTCCATTTGACACTGAACGCAACAGAAGATTATTGAAAGCAAAGTGGAGCAAGAGAGAAATCTCCACCAACTTTCGTCAGTGAAAACCAAACACCAGCTGTTTGTGGGACAGTCGACTGGAATAAATGGCGACACTTTAGCTACATCCTATGCTGTGTAGTTCGCGTTCACCTTTATTGTGAAAGACTTAAAAATAAATACGTTATTCGTGATTTATTATTTAAATTCCAGTGATTATTGTCAGAACTGGGCGGAGACGTCATCATCTTGTCGGTGTAGTATCTCTGCGGGAACAGCTGGGTGGACCTCCGTCTAAGCTCTGCTTCACTGGTATCTGATGTAGGGATGGCCGTCGGGCTGTGAGACAGACTAGCTGCTGGAGTTAAGTGTTTATTTCCCCGCTGTGCCATGGACTTCAACGTTAAGCGGCTCGCCGCGGACGCCGGTACTTTCCTGAGCCGGGCGGTGCAGGTACGTTCGCCCGCTTGGTTCGCTGAGGTTGCAGCCAAACATTATTAGCTGCTAGCTTAGATAGCGTTAGCTCGCCTGTTAGCTCAACGGTTAACTTTGCTGTTGTGGTGTAGCCGGGAGGGAATGTGGCGTGCGGGGTTTAACACCTTCATAGGGTCGCGTTGTGTAAATGGTTCCCGCTACATGTCAGTGTGTTTTATAGTTGTTCACCACACACCCCGGAGCAGGCCGCAGGAAGCAGCAGCAGCATTAGCATCTGCAGCAGCCGGGGCGAGTAATGTCAGTCCTGGAGCTAACCCTCCAGGCTGTTAGCTCCGTGTTCACCATGTAACCGAGTCTTTTCTGCGTCAGTTCACAGAGGAGAAGCTCGGCCAGGCTGAGAAGACAGAGTTGGACGCTCATCTGGAGAACCTGCTGGTCCGAGCTGAGAGCACCAAGCAATGGACGGAGAGGATCATGAAGCAGACAGAAATCCTTCTACAGCCCAACCCGAGTAAGAGCCACACTTCTGACACAACACACCCCGACATACTGGACTCCTCGGGGCAGGTGCCGACACTATGGTGGCCCTTTGCTGCACAAACCCTGTTTACAGAGTTACTGCATCACAAGATTGACCCACCCACACATCGCAACAGCAAATGCAGTATGTGGAAATGAGCTATTCTGGGAAATGAGACCAATTAGATCATCTAGACAGGAGGTGGTTCACTGAAGAGCGTTTCAGTGTCCTATTTAGCATGGGCCACATACAAGTGCTTGTTTAACTTGTGTCAGGAGGCAGGGTGCCTGTGAAGTGTGTGAGCTCAGCTGTGCATCCTCTCCAGTTCACATCATGATGCCACATCATAGTACAACAAACAGAGACAGACCAGCTGTTGGCGAGAGTAATCCTGGATGAAGTAAACTGGTTTTAATCGACCTTTTTCATGTTCATACACCACGTTCCTCACATATGCTGCGACCCTGCCTTTTCATGCGATGTGACAAGGTGAAACAAATCCCATCAGGTGTGATGGAGAAGTCTTTGGGTTCATTATTAAAGCTAATTTTTACAGACTCACTGTCCCAAATTCAGTGTCTGCATCTGGCTCCCTCACTGTAGTCTTGTGACTTTCTAATTGAGTTTTCCTGTCGTTAAACCCCAGATCTCCGGCTCGAAGAGTTTGTGTATGAAAAACTGGAGAAAAAAGCCCCGACGCGGGTGAACAATCACGAGCTGTTGGGCCAGTCTATGATCGAGTCGGGAAATGAGTTTGGTCCTGGAACTGCCTACGGTGAGTGAGACACTCAGTGCTCTGTCAAATTTTAAAATGTTTTTAATATGTGCTATGACTTTGAATAGCATATTGCCTGCCATGGTTTCCCCTCCATCTGTAAATCATGTTATTCCACTGTTGTGGCCATTGCCTCTTTCTTTTTCCTCATTTACACTTAAACTAGAAGGTATACATGGCTTTCTTTAAACGCAGGCAAAACAGCTGAAAAAGGTGATTTCTCTAGTGACTCCTTTTTCATGAGTCATGATCAACGTCCCTGGAAACGTTGCTGTCTCGCCAGTGTTGCATCTTGTATGATACAAAGGAAAAATTGCTGTTGCCTATTGTTCCTAAGATACAAAAAACAATAAGCACACAATTGTTCATGGCCGTTTAGGCGCCATGCTTTGAAGTTCAATGCACGTCATAACTTTACATAAAGGCTGCAGCGTCAACATCTAGGCTGCCAAAATAAAGACAAAGAGGAAGAAATTATTGCATTTACCCAACTAAGAAACATGTCTACTGCAGAGTCATTTAATACGGGAATGAATGCTGATTGTGTCCATTCCCACTGCAGTCAAAAGACAGATGTTAGTGGATGTTTTTGACCAGCAGACAAGGGGCTTCACCTTGAACAGCAGCTTTTTAAACTAATCCTTTTGCTTCTGAACAGTCTTGTGTCCGTTGTTGTCCCGGAGGTAATGTTTCTTTTGTGCTGCTCATCATTTCAGGAAATGCTCTGATAAAATGTGGTGAGACAGAGAAACAGATTGGTGGAGCTGAGCGGGAGCTCATCCAAAGTGCTGCCATCAACTTCCTGACACCTTTCCGAAACTTTCTAGAGGGCGACTTCAAAACCATCCTTGTGAGTTCGACCCTTTATGACATGTTTGTAATCTGATTCACTTGTCATTGGACTTTGAACTTTTCTTTGGATAATTCCCAACAATAAACTGATATCATGATTGTGGAGTCTTAAAGCTGTCTTAATCTTTATTGTGGTATATGTAGAAACACTGATCACAGCTGTATCTTAAACCAAAGCCTCCATCAGATCACCAGGATTATCCCCTTCTATAACTGATGCTGTACAGTTAGGTTGATGAGTTCATTATGAACACAAGCACGTTTATCACATTTTTCATGGTCTGGTCTCATCTGCATGAAAAGTTTGACATTGTTTGGTGCCTGGAGCAGAAGTTGTTTCTCATTCCGCTGTGATTTATGTCCAGAAAGAAAGAAAGCTACTGCAGGTCAAACGCCTGGATCTGGATGCAGCTAAGACAAGGCTAAAGAAAGCCAGGATGGCTGACGCAAGAGCTGTGGTACGTATACACACACACATGCATCGTCATCAATGGAACACAGTCATTGTTTTGCACCTGGATTTTATTTAGTGGTTATTAATGACCAGCCATTGGGAATTCTGCTTTCTCTAAAATCATTAGCCAACTTGTTTTCAGAGGAAGAAAAGCTGTCATGCATATCCTCTTCCCTCTGTCTCAGATCCGACACACCAAGTTATTCAACATAAAAGCTACCATTTTATCTCTAGAGACCTCAACACGGTCACATGAGCCACTTCCCTTTTTCTGGACAGTTGCTGTGATGTGTCAGTTCTCGTTGTTTGTGCCTTTGTTTTTAAAACAGAACATTATTTATAAGGTGACAGTGTCTTATTCCAGTCTTAATGTGTGAGGAAGATATTTATCTCTGTTACAATATGTTAAGCTCAGTGTTTCTTGTCGTGCTGATCTGTCAGTTTAAAGTTACACATGCAGACTCAAAACCTGCCTCTAAATACTGTTAAATGCTTTACTTTGTTAAAAGTTGCAGGTAGTTTGCAGTATGTTTATTCTATTTGAGACAGTATTCCAGTGAGACAGAAAACACATGTACTTCGAAGTCAATTTTCCTATTTCAATATGATCAAGACAATAGTCTGAAAAAGACACTGCCAACAGCATTTTCTGATTATCTTAACCAGAGTAAGGTCATACTCAGAATTAGCAATAATCCAATTTGGACATGTGGATTTTTCTGACTTAAGTGGCAGTATGTAGACATTATGACAGTTTTGGAGTTTTCACAGCATTTTGTGACATCAACATACGTCAATTACTTACTGTTTGATGACATATGCCCTGGGTTTGTGTTTGAACAAGATGAGAAAATAACGAGGAGTTGAGGCTTTTACAAAATGAGAAAGAAAACCACTAAAGGTCTGTGTGCATTAAAGGTTGTGGTTTTAAAGTTCTAGTAGGAAAAACTAATGTAAACATCATAATCTGAGTAATTTCTTATCCTGAATAAGGTTAGTAGTCAGATTATTGGTGCCCACGTAAACTTCATCAATGTCTGAGTATAATACTTTTTGTGTATATTGTTTCAGAATGTGTCGGGGATGGAAAACACAGAGAAATTATCCTAGAAAAGCCCTTTTCGCTGCAGTCAAAGTGCTGTTTGTACACACTGTATTTTAGTTAAAGGTACGACAGTAACATAGCAAGTGAAATTACATCACTTGTCAAAACACAAGAATAGAAATTGTATTCTGGAAATATGTGCTTTTGCATATATAACAGAATAAAACTTGTCAGATGAACTTATAAAATGACAGAAATCTAAAATACTAATAACAACAATGGGCCATTGAGAACATATGTGGGAAGGAAGAAGCAAAAGAGCCGAGAATCAATGAGCTTAAACTCCTTCCCTCTATAAAGAACTATTATTACTGTATGGCACATTAAGAGCCACGTTGTCCCTGCAGTCTTACGGTGTGTTTAAACTCTACGAGACAATGTGTTCAGTCAACAGTGTCTGAGGAAACACACGCTCATGAAAGAGATAAGTGTCTCCTGAATTCAGGACCTGTAAACAGTTGTTTCTGCCTTAATCTGTGGTTGAAGGATCTTGGG